TGTGATGAGAGGGGGGGGGGGGGGGGGAGTGGCATGTTTTGAAGCTAAAATGACTTTTCTGCTGCAGGAATTTTATCAGAAACTTTGGGGCAATCTAAACACGTTTAGCATTTTCAAAACATTTTCCCTCCTCACCTACATATTTCCAACCACATGAACACTCAGTCATGGCTGATTTATAGTTATGGCCGAGGTAGGGATTGTTACGCAGAGTTATTTCAGAGTTATTTCGCCGAGGTGTCAGGCTGAAATCAGGCTGCCGTCTGACTCTCTTTTAGTCTCCTCACCCCCAATCTAAACACGTTTAGCATTTTCAAAACATTTTCCCTCCTCACCTACATATTTCCAACCACATGAACACTCAGTCATGGCTGATTTATAGTTATGGCCGAGGTAGGGATTGTTACGCAGAGTTATTTCAGAGTTATTTCGCCGAGGTGTCAGGCTGAAATCAGGCTGCCGTCTGACTCTCTTTTAGTCTCCTCACCCCCACCCCTCCTTCCAAAAAAAAAAAAAGAAGAGAAACACAGAAATGCCAGAGCCGGGTATCAGCTACTTGAAATCTGCATCGGGCCAGAGTACCGCGGCCAGTGGAGCTCTGACACTTCAGCCAAGTGGCAGATCGGGCCCGTCCGCTGCCTTCGCCCCCGGTAATGAGGTAAAACCTTGTGTCATGAAATTTAGTGGATGGCCAGCAAAATAAAAATGGGCACCCAGCAGTAACTAACCTCCGGCTTAAAGTTAAATTAGATCTTCAGCTTCAAGAAAGGTCTTTAAGCAGAGGTGAGGTTTGGTTTGGGAGCTCTGGCCATTGTGCGTTTGGTTTTTGGTTCCCCCCCTCTCCGTCCCCATAAGGGCATTAAATTCAAATGGTTGTGAAATAAAGAGGGGGATGTGTCTTAACGCTAGGAAAACAGGCATGGAGCGAAGCAGCTGGCGTGATTGAAAGGGGCTTGAAAGGCTGACGGGTTTGATACGCTGTCTCCATGCACAAGGGTCCAAACATCAGCTCGGATTATACCGGTGTGATTTATTGTGGCTCGCTCGGTAACAGTTTAAAATCATATTCTTTCTCTCTGCTGACCTCCACCCAGATTTGCTAAACATAATGTACAGTTCCCACTTGTTAAATTTTCTCCTTGCCTATTCAGTGCCAGCCTGAGTTATAAACAGGGGTTCTGGTTTGTGCTATTTATTTCCCCCCCTAGTTTTAGGAGTATATTTTTAGAAAAATTGCCGCTCATTTCTTAGGAGTAAAACAAAACAAAGGCTATTATCACTGTTAAACAATTGGTTTTCTTCAAATTATATACAAAACTTGCTTACATTCCCAAGGATCGAGCTCTCAGCAAACAAAGCAGGTCTGGAGAAATTCCTAGCCCTCTAAACAAACACTTTCCAACCTTGGGGTTTGGGGTTTTTTTTTTCTTTTTCTGGTGGAAACATCCAACACCAGCAGCACAGCTTTCTTCCAAGCCACGGATGCCCGCTCACAGACAGGGTCCATGAGCTCAAAAAGCCAGGCTAGCCCCTGCCTGGTGTGCGGCTCACGGGGGGCAGAGGGTGATTTCGACAGCACAGGGCCCGAAGGTGGGCCCAAAGCCGTGCCC